TATGCTTGTGTTTGTTTCTGGGGCAATCTATAAATGTAGAATAGTCTCTTATTTATTTCTGTCGGAGGTGAGGGGGGGGGGCCTCCAGGCAAACACCAGTCGAATGACTGGCAGGTGCCTGGACACACATTCAGAGTCCCTGATGGGGAACCCTGGCCTCGAGGCCCCGCCCCTGAAGTCAGACAGGGGTGGGCGGAGACCACTTTCCGGACACGAGGCATTAGGTGTCTGAAGCAGGCCTTCGCTAACACTGGTATTCGGAGGGGCTCTAATCGGGGCTCTTGGTTCAAGTTTGCATTTCCAAGGTGGACCCAACATATGCACAGAACCCAGGAATTTCCTAGGGCTCAATACCACATGAGTAACTGGTAAAAGGATGAATCTGGCATTTTTTAAAGTTCGATGTGTTATATAATCTACATACAGTAAAATGTACCCTTTTTAATACACATGCTATGAGTTTGACAAATGCATACGGTTGGGTTTCTACCACCACAATCAAGACATAGCACATTTCCATCAACCCAAAATATTTCCTCGTGACAATTTATGGCCAATCCCTCCCCGGCCCCTGGCAACCACTGATCTGTTTTCCATCCCTATAGTTTGGCTTTTCCAGAACGTCACACAAATCAAATCTCCAGGGCGGAGGCTTTGCCTGAGCGTCTGGTTTCTTTCATCTGCCGTGCAGTCACTGGCAATGAGGCCAGTGGGCCCGGGACCCGGTGAGTGAAAAGGACCGAGTAGGAACTGAAACCGGAGAGGTGGCAGGGCCAGGGCACACAGGGACTTGTCCGCCACAACAGCAAACCTGGATTGATAGGGGTGATGGGAAGCCACTGAAGATGGTGAGCAGCTGAGTAATGTGATCTGATTCACTTAAAAATAATTTGGCTACTACTGTGTGGAAGATGGACCACTGTGGAGCGAAGGAGAAAAAAGGAAGCCGTTTAGAGATGACTGCTGTTGTCAGGGTCAAAAACAGAACAGCAACAGTGGAGGGGGCCCAGAGTGGTCAGATCAGAGATGTACTTTAGAGGACGAGATGCTGGGACTGGATAGAGCACATGAGGAGGAGAGAGGAGGCCAGAATGCTCCACGATGTTGGGCTTTAGAAACAAGGGAGGTGGTGGTGGTGTCAGTTCCAGGATGGATAAAAGGAAAAGACAGGGGAGGTGGAAGGAGTAAGGATAAGGGATGGGGGAGGGGGGAAGGGTGAATGAAGGGTTCCATGCATTTGGACAGCATCGCATACAGATGATACGGCATCTCTCCGCTGACCATTCAGCATATCTGATTGACCTTTGATAGAGAAAGTTCACTTAACAATCCCTGTCCTGTGACTCTTTTATTTAATACAGTGAGTGAAGACACTGAATACATTCAGTCTCCACATCACGGGGTTCCCAGGGTTAAATTTTGAAAAATAAGATAAGTTGTAAAGGTTCAAGGCTAAAGAGCTCTCCCATTTCTCACCTTTATTTTCTACATGGACAAGAACAACCCGAGTCTCATAAGAAGGCTCTAAATGTTACATGGACTTTTTCTCAGAATACTTACTCCATTTGTCCAACTGAATTAAGAACAGAAAACATTTTTAAATGATGGTAACTTTTTTTGCTTCCAAATGTTTCCCATTAACAGACGAAAAAGCATTCAATGGTTCATCTTTTCCAACTTAGGAGACCAGGCTGATGCTCTCAGGAGGGTGAAGGAGTACAGTTTGCTTAGACCAGCGGTTCTCAACCTGTGGGTCACAACCCCTTTGGGGGTCGAACGACCCTTTCACAGGGGTCGCCTAAGACCATTGGAAA